TAACTATATTAAAGTATTAAATAGTTTATAATTATCAATTGATTCAATTCTTTTAAATTTTTTTTTTTATATATATAAAAGGGGCGTCTAGGCGTCCGAAGAATGCCTAAAGATTTTTTTAACACAGCCACTAGTTATATTTTTTGACAAAATGATAAGCATTGGATCTAACAGTTAGATTAAATATGTTTTTTTTTTTTTAACAAAAAAACTAAAACTAGGAAAGCTAGACGTTTTTTTTTTTTTTTTTTTTTTTTTTTTTTCAGCATGCCTAGGAATTTTATGTCATATTTTGTGGCCACACAACCAAAACCGCTCAACTAAAATGGGTTGACTACTTGACCATGCATATGGAGATTAATATATAATAATATAATATCATTAGAGATTGAATAAGTAAATATGGGATCGACCAATAAATATCATTAGCCGGCCTATGTATGACAAAAATGAATTCAGTTTTCTCTCTTGTCTCTCTCCCCTTGGTTCTAGAATCTGACCATGTCTTTTTTCTTTACTTTTCTGAAATTTCACTCTTAACTCGGAAAAGAGCAATAACATGACATAATTTTAGAATTGTATCAATAATAGTCAACGCCATGCTTGAATAGTAGGATGTAGGGCTCGATTCTTCAAATCTTGCCCAACAAAGATTGTATATTGCGATAACCAACTTGGTCAACATCTCGGTGCCATATTTCAATTCTCTACCATGATTAAAAAATTCGATAGGCGCTCCTCGGACACTCGGGGGGTGTCTATGTTAAGCTTACATGTGGTTGATATTATATTTAATTTTTTATCTATTCTAATATTATTCCTGTAGACTAGCCTAGTTATAACTTCTCCCTAATTCTCATCTCCTGTATTACTATATATAGTCTGTAAACCATTCTTTATCAATGCAACGTATAGTTTCTCCCTAGCCTTTACATGGTATCAGAGCCAGGTTCGCGATGGTTTGAGTAGGATCGGTAAATTTGGTTGGTTCTTTGACAGAACCATCAATATAGTCGAGGAGGTTAAAGCAATGAGCGTAGACTGAATTTGACACCTCCGGACTGGGAAATTTGTGGGAGTGAGTTTAGTGGGAAGGTTGGATGTAGCAGTAAGGTTAACGATTTTGTTGGTGGCAGCCATTGATAGATGATGAGAGACGAAATAGAAGGGAAAAAAAGTCTCGTAGGAGGTTCTGGCTCGTAAGGTGAATGATTAATCTGTGCTAGGCGTCCATGTATTTTTTTATTTTTTTAATCGGTACCTAGGCGGGATTTTTGCAACACTGAACTACTGATTATAACTTTGGGTGTAATGGTAAGTGTTTAATTATTATAATAAATAAATCAATGTTATATGATCACCTCAGCACAATTGAACAATTTGCTTTCTTTAAAGTTTACAAGGTAAAAGAAAATGAAAGTAAAATAATATAGTCATATATAATTAATTCTTAACAAATAAAACACCATGGACAACATCATAGGAGATAAGACCGGCTCAAAGATGTATGAAAAATCAACAGTAGCTATTATAGGTTGAACTGGTCAACTTCGCAATTATGCTGTGGACTCGTGTCCACAATGCATTGTGGACACGAGTCCAAAACGATGTTGTTTTCAGGGAAAACACAGCATTCTAGTTAAAACAAAAAAAAAAGAATTTGATTTTGTCTCGTCGTGTTAACGGCGTTATTCGTTTGTGGCATTATGAATGTATAATTATGGAATTATGAATGTACAGTTATGGAATTATGAATGTCAGTTATGGAATTATGAACACAGAGCTCTGACATTATAAACTTACAATTATAAACATATAGTGATAAAATTATGAACATAGAGCTCTAAAATTGTGAACATAGAGTTTCGAAAATTATGAATGTACAGTTATGGAATTATGAATGTACAGTTATAGAATTATTAATGTACAGTTGTAGAATTATGAATGTACAATTATGGAATTATGAACACAGAGCTCTGACATTATGAACTTATAATATGAACATATAGTGATAAAATTATGAACATAGAGCTCTAAAATTGTGAACATAGAGATTCAAAAATTATGAATTTACAGTTATTGAATTATGAATGTATAGTTACAAAATTATGAATGTACAGTTATGGAATTATGAACACAGAGCTCTGAGATTATGAACTTACAATTATGAATATATAATGATAAAATTATGAACATATACTCCTATAATGAAGCGGTCTGAATTTTTTTTTTTTTAAAAAGTGAAAGATAACAGTGCCACTAACGGCACCGTTACCCGTGTTCACAATGCATGCTGGACACGCGTTCATAGCATAACGATTGGGTCAACTTAATCAAGTTAATTACATAATGGATCAAGCAACCATAGTCATGATGTTCATAATCAAGCCTTAATATATTGATGTTCTTTTTGTTCTAAATTTATTATCGAGGGTTATTTAAATTGAAAATTAAGCAGAACTATTTGTTTTTGTACGGAGGCATAGGCTTACCCAAAAAAAAAAAATAAAAAATAAAAAAATTGAAATGTGAATAAGTAAAAGTTTGTATAAATAAACCATGAACATTAATTTATCTTAAAATGATGCATGTTGGGCCAAAAACGCATATTTTGTCTGCAAATGTGCGTTTGGACTATACATAAAGCTTTCCTCTGCCAAGCCGGCCTGCTATCTGTTCTCACTTTCATAATGACAAAACATTTAAAAACTATTTGATCCATTCAAAACATCTTTGCAAATCCATTTGATCTTCCTATAAATACCCTCTTCACGGCCTAAATTTTCTCAAACAAACACTAAAACAAAGAAGAAACAAAGAAGAAGAATGGGTCTTACACAATTTAACAAAGTGACCTTTGTTGCTATCCTCTTTTGCTTCATCCTCATTGCATCATATGGTGGGTATTCGATCTCTAAATCTTTTTTCAATACATTATATTTTTTATACTTTTCAATCTGTCAAACACAAGACGTGGTTTACGTACCCCAACACACCATCGGCTACTGGTGGTGAATTTTCCTCATCACTCAAAATAATTAATAAAATGAATGTGAGGGTTGTGGTTAGTCATGATTGACATTGTTGCGGAATAATATTTATGCAGAAACTCATATGGTTGAAGCACAACACCATGGGGGTGGCGGTGGCGGTGGCGGTAGGGGAGGTGGTGGCGGTGGCCGTGGCGGATGTGTTTCACACAACTCTTGGAATGGAGGTTGCTCAGGGCACTGTGTCGGATGGTGCCGAAGCAAGGGTGGCTACAAGTGGTACTGTCAGTATCAGACATGTTACTGTTACCATAAGTGTTAAACGGAAATATTTGTATGATGCACTATTTTCATGCTGCACAAAAGTAATGCGTCACACAAATCTCAATCTATCATATATATAATATGAAATAAAAGTTGCTACAAATGACTCTAGTCATTTTGTCACGGCAACAAATGTTGTCCCAATAAATGGGGTGCATTTTAATTAATGTGTGTTGTATACTTGTATGTTGAATATATTACATGTGTGTGGAGTGTTTGAGTATTTAGTATTTGCAAAGTTGAATGTTGTTTTGGTACATAGGACATCATACTTTCTGCACTTTGTCATACTTAATTTAGAAAAAAAAGGATAAATATTATTACAAAATGTGAACAGTACAGGGGGGTTGATCAATCTTAACTCTAAATTGATGGACTAACTCAACAAATTTTGGACAAGTTTCGTGGAGTTAGATACAAATGTTAAAACATTTGTAAAACTAATTAAACAAAATACTACCCCACCCTTACAAATTTCCCTACATTATAAGTGTTGTCATTCGATGCTTTTGCAACTGGTAAAACCACTACAAGAAAAATGCACATAGACAATGGTTAATAACCGTTGTCGTAGGGGTATAATTTCTGTTGTTGAAGCCGGTGTTGTTGTAAGCCCCGCGCATAGACAACGGTTTTTTAACCGTTGTCTTTTCTAGAAACAACAACGGTTTTCTAACCGTTGTCGATTAAGTGTTGTTGAAGCTGGTGTTGTTGTAAGTCACGCACATAGACAACCGTTAATAATCATTGTCTTTTCTAGAAACGACAACGGTTGTTTAACTGTTGTATATTAAGTGTTGTTGAAACCGGTATATTAAGTGTTGTTGAAACCGGTGTTGTTAAAAGTCACGCACAGAGACAACGGTTAATAACCGTTGTCTTTTCTAGAAACGACAACGGTTTTTTAACTGTTGTCTATTAAGTGTTGTTGAAATCGGTGTTGTTAAAAGTCATGCACATAGATAACGGTTTTTAACCGTTGTCTTTTCTATAAACGACAACAGTTTTTTAACCGTTGTCTATTAAGTGTTGTTGAAATCGGCGTTGTTAAAAGTCACGAACATAGACAACAGTTTTTAAACGTTGTCTTTTCTAGAAAAGACAACGGTTTAAGAACTGTTGTCTATTGAGTGTTGTTGAAACCGGTGTTGTTAAAAGTCACGTACATAGACAACGGTTTTAAACCGTTGTCGTTTCTTTCAAAGACAACAATTTTTTACCCGTTGTCTATTCAATGTTGTTGAAACCGGTGTTGTTAAAAGTGATTCACATAGACAACGGTTTTTAACTGTTGTTTTTTCTTTAAAAGACAACAGTTATAAATTGTTGTCTATTGTGTGTTGTTGAAATCGATGTTGTTAAAAGTCAAGCCCATAAACTGTTGTCTTTTGTAGAAAAGACAACAGTTTCAAACTTTTGTCTATTGTAAAATAGACAACGGTTTTTAACCGTTGTCTCAACCCATTTTTAACCTGCTTAAATTTTAATCATATAAAAAAAATTCAATTTATCCATTCACCATGGCCAAGTGTAGTTACATAATTTTGCAGAAGCTAAGCAAGGTTCAAAATAACAAGTCAAAATACTTTCATTACCAATTGTAATCGAATCATCATCCAAGTCATAATACTACAAAAAACAATTCTACGAACCAAGTCTAAATGATTACAACGTCAAATCATACACACTCTATATAACTTGATAGAATATCGGCTCATTCTGAATGCACTATATCAATAACCGCTTTGTCATAATCAACTTTTTGGAACTACATGTAAAAAGTGAGTAAATAAATTAGTATAGATATAATAAATTTGCAATGAAATGCGAAATAAGTTAGGAGTAATTCGGAAAGCAAAAAAAGTAAGGTTATAGCGCAGAAGAAAGTCAAATATTTGCTAATTTGCTGAAAATAGATTCCCATATTAAAGAATTGAAGTTGAACTTCCATGAACAACAGAACAACAGCAAATTAACTGCTTTTTCAAACACATTATTATAAACATTAAACCTAAGAAAAATATAGCAGTTCTAAAGACAAGAAAGGATACTTGAACTTAGATTTACACTCCATTCAAAAAATCCCAAATGGTGTGTAGACTAAATGTTGCTCAAATTCACTTGACATATATGAGTACAAACAACTTAAAACACATAAATTTCTAAAATAGACTATTTGAATGTCATGTTAACTGAAACCTCTAGTGTCATTCGTACTTCCATGACAAAACATCTGAAAGAATATAAGTCACTCTTAGAGTACTAGCATCAAAAACTTCTCAGCAAATAGCAACCTCTAAACAAGAAAACTAAATGTGGTACATCTCATCCTTTTAAAGAAGCATGCATAGATAGTCACTTAGTCATTGAAGATTTGAAGGTAGTTCTTTCAGGCAACCGAAGAAATAAAAAACCTTCTCTTTTTTTGCTCACATCCTTGGGTGGGGAGGGATTGTTAAGAGGAGGTGATAAAGGAATAGGATAAGAAGTACCACCGAATCATCCAATAGAAGCCTACCAGTGAGCAACTGCTGTGGATATACATCTAGTGATGAGACCATTACTTATGCACAATAAAGCAAATTATAGCATGAACTTAGCTTCACTTTGCTTCATGGGACATCAACTACTCTTAAATAAAAATCAAAATTTACACCTACCCAATTTCCACGAGAAACCTCTTTCCCGCAAATCTGGTACTGTCCCAGCACACCCTTTTTGGTACATTTGACAGTTTCATCTTTGTTCTTGGACAATGCCTCAGATGAACATATATCATCATCAAAGTTAACAAGAATCTCTCCACTACCCTTCCGGCATCTATATCAAGAATCACATTTCCAAAGGTGAAAACAGTATAATATACAATATAGTAAAAGATAATAGGAAAATAGAAAATGCAGGGTGTTGACCTTCTAGAGGGGTGATGAGCCACCAAAAGTTGAAGGAATGCTATTACAGATGCTTTTTTCTCTGATTTAATCATCTGAATCAATAAGGAGACCAAAATTCACGACAACCAATAATGAATAAAGGAAAATAAAATAAAATAAAATAAAATAACACACACACACACACACACATCCTGTGAGAAAAGGGGGTATAAGAGATATGGAAATTCCATTGATTTACCTTGTGCCCTAAGATGATATCAAAGACAGTAGAAGTTGCCTCCTCAACATCATATATATAGCTCTGGCAATCTTTCACATAATATGGCACGCACATTAGAAACTAGACCAGAAGAATAACAAATTCAATGACATGGAACCTGCAAAATGGGAATAACTCACTAGATGATATAATCCTATATAATTTTGGTGAATAATTTTATATTTAAATATGAACGAAAATGGAACTATTAAATTCACTTTTGAATTGTATTCTTTCTTTGTTAAATTATAGCTAAAAGATAAGGTGTAACACTTTAATATATAATAGTTGGTGTGGCTTGGTGGATTTACTTTTATTTGTTATGTTAAAGGTCTTGGGTTCTATCCTTTGTGGTGGTATTCTTAACCTATTTTATATAATCATTGTCTTGGTTCTCAAAGACAGTAATATACTAGATTTTGTGCTTAAATATACATGTGTTGGTGTGGCTTGGTTGGTTTAGCTTTGTTTATTATGTTAGAGGTCATAGGTTCTATTCTTCCTGGGGGGTATTTTTCAACTATTTTCTAAAATTGTTGTTTTGATTTTCACAAACAACACAGAGGCAACCCAGTTATATACCAGATGTTGCACCTTTAAAGATAATAGTTTGTGTTGCTTAGTTGGTTAAACTACTTACTTGTTAAGTTTGAGGTATTAGGTTCAACTCTTTTTGTTAACATCTTTATTTTTATTTTATATACCTGCTAAATAATGATGTGCAAAGACAACGGTTTTTTTAAAACTGTTGTCTTTGTAGTGTTGTGTATTCAAATACGCTTAAAGACAACATACCAAAGACAACGGTTAAATAAAATCATTGTCTTAAACAAATAAAGAACGCGCAACGACACCGGTTATATAAAACCGTTGTCGTTTTAGTGTTGTGTATTCGAGTGCGCTTAACGACAACACACTAACGACAACGGTTAAATAAAACCGTTGTCTTTTTTTTTTTTTTAAAAAAAGAGCGCACAAAGACAACGGTTTTAAACAACCGTTGTCTTTCTAGTGTTGTGTATTTCAGTACGCTTAAAGACAACACACCAACGACAACAATTAAAAAAACCATTGTCTTATTTAAAAAAAAAAACGCACATAGACAACGGTTTTAAAAAACCGTTGTCGTTGTGGTGTTGTCTTTTCACAAAATGCACAAAGACAACACACTTATAACAACGGTTAAGTAAAAACCGTTGTCTTTGACAAAAGTGTTGCATCAAAGACAACGGTTTTGGACCAAACTGTTATCTTTTATACAAAAGACAACACTTTTCTTAAAAACTGTTGTCTATGTGCATTTTTCTTGTAGTGAACAACTATTACATTCATGGAGATCGGAGATGGTTAGAAATCCTAGGATATATAGATCTACTTAGGAATGTCAATTTTAGTTTAAATTTGATGAGTTGACACGATAAAATCGAAAAATATTAGCGTTAGAAGCGAAAAAAATTACCTTGACGATAGCTTGAGTCAATTTTAGTTTAAATTTGATGAGTTGACATGATAAAATCGAAAAATAAAAAAATATTAGAGTTAGAGGCGGAAAAAAATTACCTTGACGAGTTAGCCTGATAGCTCGAGTCAATTAAGGCTAAGGTTATTCTTTTTAAATAACATTGACTCTATTACAATGTTGTAAGAGCCAATATCACCTTCACTGAAGCTTGAACCCACAACCTCCTCTATGAGGGAGCACCTTAGTACCATTAGACCACAAGGAATGCTATTCTTTATTTCACAAGTAATGTAGAACAAAGTATCATGGAGTTTATATGTAAGTTTATCTTTAGTATTTTTTTTAAAAAATTTTAAATGAAATTTTAATAAGTATATTAAGAAATTTATTACTGGAGTTAATGTCATATGAGTCCTATGAGTATGGTAGTTTAAAACGTTGAGTCTTAAACTTTTAAGTTAAACACTCGTGATCCTTCAACTTTCAAGTTAACCATCCGTAGTATTTCAACTTTTAAATTTTAACTAGTTGTGGTCCTTCAACTTTCAAATATTAACCAATGGTGGTTATTCTGAAAGGACGACTTTGTCCTTAATTACTTTACACGACATAAAGGGCTAAAACTAACATAAGGATCACGATGGGTTAAAATTTGAAAGTTGAAGGATCACGAATGGTTATTAATTAACTTAAAAACTTAGCTAGGACTAAACGTGACAAAACCAATATACATGGAAGACCTCATATGACATTAACTCTTTATTATTGTACAAAATTAAATAAAATAATTTCATGAAAATAAATAATGTAAAATAAACAAATTGTTAAAATTATTGTATTATAGTGTAAATGTATTACTAATTTTTAGTTAGAATTTTGAAATAGAGGTTTAGATTGACTGAATTAATGTGTATAAGTTTATATTCATTAGTAGTGTAAATGTACGAGCTGAGTTTATTAAAATTGGATGTTCAGAATGTTAAAGCGCTAAAAGCTTTTGTTTAGTCCGCCCCATAAACCTGACATCTCGATGTTTTAGAATTAGGACAAAAAAATTTAAACCGGACAAAAAAAAAAAAATTTAAATAATCCCTAACCAATCAGGATGGCCCAAAATTGACATCGCTCGCTAGATCAGTAAACAAGTAAAAGTTAAATAGTGTTCAAAAAAAAAAAATTGAAATAATTCCATGTTCTACAACTTTAATTTAGTCTTTCACTTATGACTTACGTACAATTGCCCCTCCCCATCTGTAACCTATGTGTTGGAATTGAAATAGGCAGCCACCCATATTTACTCTACTCTATATGCCTATATATATGGAGAACAAAAACATGAAAAATGAAATAAAATATCGTTCATTTCTATCTACTATACTAATAAGAGCCCAAGAGAGTTAGGCCTATAATGGGTAGAAAAAATGACGGTCAAGTTTTTCAATCAAATGAATGGCTCAGATTGATCAGATTTTAATTTTTTTTTTAAAGATTTACTAATTTATCCTTAATGAATATGATTATCCGTTAACTTTTCCGTTAAATATTATCTTTCGATCCGTTAATTTCTGTTAGTTCACCGTTAACTTATTCATTGATTTCAATAAGAAAGGTCTTAAGTTCGAAGTTCGAACCCCATCCCAATCAAAGTTGGCATATTTAGTACTCTATTTTACTTTTATTAAATTAGATAATAATTTAGTAGTTACAACAAAAAATAACACATACGCATCTACAATGTTTTTATTAAAAAAAAATTATTCATTATCAATAAATTAAATAAGAGAAATAATTTCATTTTTTGAATGCTACTGGCCCTATTACATTGTAGTATCTGTTCATATACAATAACGCCTCCACTGAGGCTCAAACTCACAACCTTCCAAATGGAAGTCCAACCCGGATACCATTAGATCACATAGTCCTAGTAATTTCATTAGTTATATTGTCTTTATTTTTCTCCAATATAAAAATTCTTTACATTCAAATTCATCAATTGATTATATTCGCTACATTGTCCCTACAATGTCTTTATTAAAAAAAAAAATTATTTATTATCAATAAATTAATTAAGAGAAATAATTTTATTATATTATATTATCTTTATTTTTCTCCAATGTAAAAATTCTTTACATTCAAATTCATCAATTGATTATATTCACTACATTGTCTATTATCTTTTTTTTTTTGCACTAATTTTTTTAATTAAATATCTAAGTTATAATATAACATAATGTTATATATTTATTTACTAAGTATTTTATTAATACCATGAAAAAATTAAGAAAAAAATAATTAATAAAGCCAATCATATTAACTACTTGAGGAATTTGTTGACAAAGAGAGTATTCAAATCACACAATAAATTGAAGTGAGAACTATCTCGTAATGTCCTTGTTTGACATCAGTAGTTAGCGGTTAGCGTTAGCGGATTATATTAGCTGATTTGACCAGCGAATTATATCAACGGTTGGTAAAAAGATATTTGAAAAAATTAACTTTTTAGATTAACATGTAAAATGACCTAAGGGTATACATATATTTAATAATAATAATAATAATAATAATAATAATAATAATAATAATAATAATAATAATAATAATTGTTTTAAAAAATAAAATATATAATTAAGCCAATCATATTAACTACTTGGGGGATTTATTTACAAAAAGAGTATTCAAATTACACAACAAATTTTAATGAAAAACTACCTCGCAATGTCCTTGTTTGACAATCAACAATTAGCTCTTCAATATTAGTATATATTTAAAATTTTATGCCCTAATTCTTATTTGCTCTCCCTTATGTCCCGTATTTAGTTTCAACCATACCTATACAATTATTTTATTGACAATTATAATCAATCTTGACTATATTATATTGCATTTGTAAACTTAGAATTACCTATTTAAATACGCAAATTCAACATTCAATTATTTATGCATGAACAATTCTAATGTAATCCTGTCTTGATATATTTTAAAGTACTTATTAAAAAAAACATTGGGCATTATCCCAATCGCGCAATGCGCGTAAAAAACTAGTCTACCTGATAAAATGACCACCACCATCACGCACCACCATCACTATAATCATGACCAAGCTATTGATCTTGAGCCAAAGCTTACCTATCAGGTTTACTGCCGAGCAGACTACAAATACGCCCTAACCATCCGTGATAACAAGGTGATTCTCGCCCCATCCAATCCCTCCGACCCTCGTCAGCACCGGTACAAGGAACACAAGTTCGGAACCCAGGTTAAGGATGCAATAGGCTTACCCAGTTTTGCTCTAGTGAACAAAGCTACCGGAGAAGCCATCCAATACGGCATTGCCCGCGCTCAACCACCGGTACAGTTAGTGAAGTATGAGGAGGCTAATAATGATGATTCCATATTGTGGAGTGAAGCTTGTATCAAGGATGATGATGGCGGGTATAAAGCAATTAGGATAGTGAACAACATTGGCATGAACATGGATATGCATTTGGCGGTGGGGTAGTCCAAGATGGGACTACCTTTGTTCTCTGGGAATGGAATGGAGGAGACAATCAACGTTGGAAGATCCCTTCCCTATTGATCATTTAAAGATGCTATCTAGATGGTGTAAAACTATAACAATAGGTATTGAATGATTCAACCAATACTTTAATCAGAAGAGTTAAAGTACTAATTCCATGAGAGATTGATGAAGTTTTTAGCCCTTTCTTCTTCACAACTTCTTTCTTCAGGTTTGTAGAGTGTTTTTTCCTCTGGCCTTTCACGTTTAGCTTTCACAGTGATAGGATAGGAAAATGCTTATGCCTTTTTATATTGCCTTCTTTACCTAACTTACATTCCAATATTTATTATTGGAATTATGACAATAATGACCATAAACCAAATAAATTAAGTAGGCTTAATAAATAGCCCTGGGGAATAATAACCCATTGATCTGTTACATATTTTATACCCATTACCTATCACAATGAGATTCTAATTGTCCATACTACTTAATACATGCGCTACAATAACATTAGAATAAAATATTCTAACATTCTCCCACTTGGTCCATGTGTATCATTGATGGACTAGTATAACTTTAATTCGCGCAATATCCCAAAACATCAATGATCTTTTACTTAAATTAAAGTTAGCTAGATCATGGTGGTCGCACGTTATTTGAACAACATGTTCCCTTCCATGCATCATAGGTCAACTTTAATTTCGATACTGACAACTATAGGTGCAAATAGAGATATAACATTAATTGAATTCAACCAAGTCAATATGTATAGCATAAAATTGAAAGCAAAATTACAATGATAACAAGGCTCTATCCAAAATTCCCATACTCTCCACATGACAGGAGAAGACCTTCGGTGCTAAACCTTTGGTCAAAGGATCAGCAACCATAAGTAGTTCAGTTTTGATATGCCAAATTGACACTCTTTAACTGACAAGTATTTTAATTCCATATGCTTAGCACCTTTATGCCCCGTTTGGTTCACGAAATAGGCCGGGAATGGCATAGCATTCCCAGTAATAGGCCTATTCCTTTGTTTGGTAACCATTTCTATTACCAGGAATATTATTCCTGGTAATAGCCTATTACCTCAAATAAGGTAATAGCTATTACTAGGCCCCCCTGGTATTAGCCTATCACTGAACGCTCAGGAATAGATTTTAGAATCTATTTTCTTTTTTACCCCTTTCTTTAACCTAATTTTTTTATCCTATATATAAATTTATCCTATTTCACCACTGTCGTCGCCACCACTACCATCATCGTCGCCGCCGCCACCACCACCACCACCACCATCGCCGCCGCCCTCACCACCACCGCCGCCCCACCACTACCACCGCCACCACCACCACTACCATCCCAGCACCACCACCGCCACCACCACCATCACCACCACCGCCACCACCACCGCCGTCGCCGCCACCACCACCATCGCCGTCGCCGCCACCACCACCATCGCCGTCGCCTCCACCACCACCATCGCCGTCGCCGCCACCACCACCATCGCCACCAGAACCACCACCTAGCAGCACCACCGCCACCACCACCACCACCGCCGCCACAACCATCGCCGCCCCCACCACCACCACTGCCACAACCGTCACCGTAACCACTACCACCGTCGCCCCCACCACTGCCACCGCCACCACCACTACCACCACCACCACCGCCACCACCACCATCACCACCACCCCCACCACCATCGCCACCACCACCACCACCGCCGCCGCCACCATCGCCACCACCATCGCCACCACTACCACCATCACCACCACCATCACCGCCACCACCGCCACCGCCATCGCCACCATCACATATTTTTATAAGGGTATTTATGTCTTTTAAAACATATTTCATTTCTATTCCTTAAATCAACCAAACACTGTAATATAATTCCTAAAGTCTATTCCTTCCACAAACCAAACAATAGAATACAATTCCTATTCTATTCCTTGCTTATTCCATTCCTTATGGAATAGCATTCCTATTACCTCAAAATTCATTCCGTGAACCAAACATGCTGTTATGGTACTTGTCATTCTTAGAGAAGAACACCGCTGCGGAGTTGTCACAATAAATTCTCAAAGGTCCAGAAATATTGCCGATTACTCTAAGCCCCGAGATCAAATTCCGCAGCCACCGTCCATGATTTGTGGCTTCAAAGCATGCCACAAATTCTTCCTCCATAGTGGAAGTAGCGATGAATGACTGCTTCGCACTTTTCCAGGAAACTGCTCCTCCAGCTAATAGGAACAAATAACCAAATGTAGATTTTCTCGTATCTACACACCCATCATAGTTTGAATCAGAATAGCCAATCACTTCAAGTGGATCTGGCTTCCTATATGTAAGCATGTAATCTTTTGTGCCTTGTAGATACCTTAAAACCTTCTTCACAGCCTTCCAGTATTCTATGCCGAGATTACTTTGATATCGACCCAACATACCAACTGCAAAGCTGATGTCTGGCCGAGTACAAGTCTGTAAATATCCCAAACATCCAACCACTGTTGCATAAGGTATACCTTCCATTTTATTTTGCTCAAGTTCATTTCTAGGACATTGAGCTAAACTTAATTTGTCTCCTTTCTGCATTGGAAGAACTCCCGGAGAGCATTTATCCATCTTAAATCTTTCCAAGATCTTGTTAATGTATCCTTTCTGACACAATCCTAATAATCATTGTGTTTTATCTCAGAATATTTCTATTCCAATCACATAGGATCCCTCACCCATATCCTTCATTTCAAAGGTCTTGGAAAGAAACACTTTAACATCACGCAACATGGACTTATCATTTGCAGCAAGTAAAATGTCATAAACATATAAGACCCCAAAATAGAAAACTTGCTCCCACTGACTTTCATGTAGATACATCGATCAACAATATTTTCCACAAAACCATAAGATGTAATAATACTGTCAAATTTAATGTACCACTGTCGGGAAGCTTGCTTAAGTCCATATATTGACTTTTCTAATTTACACACCAATTGTTCATTTCCTGTGGTCAAAAACCCTTCGGGTTGGTCTATATATACTTCTTCCTCTAAATCACCATTTAGAAAGGAAGTTTTAACATCCATTTGGTGAATCTCTAAATTGTAATAAGCCACCAATGCCAAGACAATCCTTAACGAGTCCTTCTTAGAAATTGGGGAAAAGGTCTTGTTATAGTCGATGCCACTTTTCTGAGTATAACCCTTGGAAACAAGTCTAGCTTTATACCTTTCGATATTGCCGTTAAAGTCGCATTTGGTCTTAAAGACCCATTTGCACCCGACTCTTCTTGAATTTTGAGGTAATTCTACAAGGTTCCAAACTTTGTTGACCTTCATAGATTTCAACTCATCTTTCATGGCATCTAACCATTTTTCAGAACTGTCACTTTCAATGGCTTGTTTGAAAGAAACTGGATCCTTATCAATACTCAAATCATTTTCTTGTTCAGCAAAATATATCACGTAGTCATTAGAATGGCAGACCTCTTTTCCCTTGTAGAACGCCTTAATGTCATTTCTTCTCGTGGTTCATTGATTTCTTGCTGAATTGTGATTGATTCATTTTTATTGGTCATAATATCCTCAAGTGGGTTTAGGACATTCCCATGTTGTTCCGGTGCAATAGAGGATGGCAACGTGATAACCGGAACTACATCTTGAAAAGAATTTTCATGTATAGAGGTTTCAACATGAATTTCTTGAATGTCCACCTTACGTGGTTCTGTGCTCCCACTATTTTGACCATTTTCAATGAATCGAGCATTCCCAGTCTCTACAATGCTCATACTATAGTTAGGACAATAAAACCTGTACCCTTTAGACCTTTCTGGATAGCCAATGAAAAAACCACTGACTGTCCTTGGGTCAAGTTTATTCTCACGTAGATTGTACAACCTTACTTCCACTTGGCAACCCCATACATGAAGATTCATTAAACTCGGTTTCCTTCCTGTCCATAGTTCATAAGGTGTCTTATGGACTACTTTACTTGGAACCCGATTTAATAAATATGCAGCGGTCCTTAATGCATACATCCACAATGAAGAATGTAAGGTACAATTACTTATCATACTCCTAACCATATTCATAAGGATACGATTCTGCCTTTCAGCTACACCGTTTTGCTGCGGTGTTCCGGGCATTGTATACTGTGCACAAATATCCCTACTTTCGAGGAATTTAGCAAAAAGACCTGAATATTGTCCTTTTTCGTCACACCTACCATAATACTCACCCCCTTGGTCTGACCTCACAATTTTGACTTTTCTGTCTAACTGCTTTTCAACCTCATTAATGAACACCTCTAAAGTGTTCGCAGACTGAGATTTATCATGCAGTAGATATATGTAGCCATATTGTGAGTAGTCATCTATAAAGGTGATGAAGTACCTTTCACTGCCCCAAGAAGAAACATCGAAAGGTCCACAAATGTCGGTGTAAATTATTTCAAGCAGCTCACTACTCCTTGTGGCAGGTTTCTTGGTTATGTGTTTGGTTTGTTTTCCCTTAATACAATCCACACACACGTCCCAATCACTAAAATCCAAGGCAGGGAGGATTTCATTTTTCTCCAACCTTACTAACCTTTCCTTGGATATGTGTCCCATACGTTTATGCCACAAGTAAGCAGAGTTTTCCTTTAATGCACTATGTTTAACTCCTATACTACTCTCAACTTGAAATAAGGATTCAGCAAAATTTACATCAAGATTAAAGCGATAAAGAGAATCAATTAAAGTACCAAAATCATAATATTTATTGTCCTTACATAAATGAAAACTACGATTCTCAAATTTGATGAAAAATCCCAACATATCCAACCTACTTACTGAAATAAGATTTCTAGCACAGTCAGGGACATAGAGACAATTTGCTAGATCCAAATGATATCCAATATCTATGATCAATCTATACGTACCTATTCCCTCTAGCCGTGCCTTCATCCTATTTCCCATAAACAAGAATTCATCAATTCTTCTTGTGGGTTGGATCGAA